ACCCCCTTCCTGGCCCTCTGAGGAGCACTGGTTGAGGGGACAGCAGTGAGTGGCTGTGGAGGAGTTCATATACCAAGCTGGCATGCCAAGCCAACAGGATGTGGGCCACAGATGGCCCAGGCAGAGAAGACCCCTGGCCGCTGCTGGTGACAGGTCAGAGCAGCCCCACCACGAGGCGCTCAGCTGAATCAGTCCTGGATCTGCAGCAGAGTCAGCCAAGCGGCTGCAGAGAATTTTGGGGACAGGTAAAAGCAGAGCCCTTATGTTCCCAGGTGACGGTCTCCTCCTGGGGACCTTCTGCTACTCGGGCCACCACCGCCGAGTCCCACCTCTCCCTGCTGGCTCGGTCTGGAAGACAAATCTGGGGCACTTGCTGGGGGGAGGAAGGGAAAGGTGGGCTGAGGCGCTTCATGAGGTTCGAGTCTGCCCACGGACACTCAGAGAGGCTGGCGCCTGACCCACTTTGAGGGAAGCACAGAGACGGGCGTGATGAGCAGACGCTGCTCTGAATACACAACCAGAGAAAGGAGCCCCGTGGGTCCTCGCCAGCCCAGACCGAGGAGGGCTGCCGTGCTCCAGAGCAGTCTTTATTAGAAAGAATCAGGTTTTTAATAACACCAAGTGGGGCACCCCGAGCTGAGCCAGCTGTGTGTGTCCCCAACCGGGAGGCGTCTGCAGAGGAAGCTGGTAAGGGGGGGTGAAGTAATGATGCCATCTCAGCCCCTCCTGCTGGACAGCTCATGCCAGCATCCCAGGTGGGGACAGTCTACAGTCATTTGCTTAGGGGTTTAGGGCTCAGGCTCTGTAGCCACAGCTACTGGGCCTGTGGGACAGCACTTAAGGCCGTGTCTCTCCTAAGTGTTCCCCGGTCTACTGACCACCAACAGAGCGAGAACCAGGACCTAAAGAAGAAGCCCCAGGCCGTTCTATGAGACGCACCTGCTTCTCATTTCTCTCAGGCTCAAGCTTCCTTGGAAGTGGTGAGGGTGGAGGCTGGTGGGGTGACGGGGTGCACGGGGGACCAGTGCTGGTGTGAGGCAGAGGGAAGGCGGACAGAGCCACTGTTCCTCCCGGAGGTGGCCTAGGCCATGTCCCTGATCTCATGGCCAGCCCAAGGGAGGCTCCTGCTGAGGCCACCCCCGGGATGTACCGGCCAACGGAGATGACGACGGCGGGGCTGCACACCGCGGCTGCTCCCTGAGTGCTGACCCCGGCCAGGCACAGTGCTAACAGCCCTCCGCACACGATTTCGGATCCCATTTTATCTTCGAGGCTGCTCCATGGGGGGGGTCCTGCCCCAGACAAGGAACCTGGCTGAGGCAGGCTCGGGCTGTCCATGCACGGGACCAGTGTGGAAGGGAACAACGGGGGGAGGCTCCAGAGCCGAAGCCCTGGGGTGAGTGACGGGACAGCAAGCAGGGCTGGTCAGGAAGTCGGCTAAAGCCTGCACAACGGTCTCACCTGCCGGACGGCACCCGGGATCCGGGTCTCCCAAACTGACCCGCCAGGGCTGCCCAGAATTTTTGGGGGGAGCACAAGAGATGACTCAACACTGGCACTTGTCATACAGGTTCCGACATTTTCCTGGACAAGTGGCTATCGGCAAAGGCCCATTCTGGCAGCAGGAGGCGCTAATAACCGGAGGAAGCCACTGGCCTGAAGGCTTGGGCCGTGTCCTGAGCTCCGGGGGCCCTGCTCGGGGCGGGGCTTCTGCAGTCTTCCCCAGCCTCATTTCAACAGATGGCAGAACAAATTCCTAATTAAGCACAAGAAAGTTTCCGGCTCAGCACATTTATTTATGATTTTCCGGTCCCTTTGGTGCTCATTCTTCCCTTTTGTCTTCCTAGAATCCAAGTCGGCTTATTGCCACCCTGCACTCCCGCTTGGCTCTCTTGGACAGCCTGGGCCCTAATCTGGGGAGAGGGAAGGGGCAGGGTGCGCGGGAGTGTGGGAAAGGAGGGAGGGTCAGGGGGGGACACGGCCACACAGCTGCTTCTCAGAAGCAAAATGAAAAGGAGTTTGTTGCAAACTGACAACTTGGAGCAGACTGGAGAGGACAAACGGGGCTTTGGTGCTTTCTGCTTTTGGAGGGTTCTAGAAAAACCACCTGGGGTGAGCTTGGGCCAGAGAAGAGACCCCCCCTCCCCCCGCAAACATCCCGCAGGCAGACCCCGGTCCTTCCTGCAACAGGGCTGTCTGTTCGCTGGTGCCTGGCAGTTCCCTGGGACTCCTCCAGCCCTGTCGTCCCCTTCCTCGGCTCCCTGCCTGCGGCTGCCCTGGAGCCACGATGAGGGAAACCCCTCCCACTAGCAGGGAGGAAAGGGCCCAGGTGGCTCCCATGCCCCCTGCCTGGAACTGAACCTTAGGCTTGGGTACAGTCTAGAGTTTACTTAACTGGGCAATTTTTCTTTCGCTTCAGAGGGCTTTGTGTCACAGAGAGGTTAGCTTTCCAGGCGCAGGGGTCTGAGCCCCTCCGGGGGAAGAATGACTGCCTGCATGGTCACCCAGAATGCTCTGGAGAACAGGTCTGCGGAGAGGCCCATGCTATTTGATTATCTCTCTGATCGAAGGGAGAAAAGAGGCAGACGACTTGGCAGTGACAACGTTGTCACCATGCAAAAACACGAGTGTGGATGACCTTCACGTGCTGCTCTCTCCCTCAGGCCCTCGCTGCTGTCGAGCGTGCCTCCCAAGGCCACTGTCACCTCACAGGGCCCAGGAGCCTGAGGGAGGGAGACTCGGAGCATCCCCGCTGCAGTCCCCGGGGCTAACCAGCCTTGCTGGCCAGTGGGAGGGGGCTCTGGTTGGGAGAAGGGGAGGCAAAATGCGGTCACAGGAGGCAGGACAGTTCCACTCTGAGAGAGCAGTGTGGGAAGGGGGCAAGGGCTTCACTGAGATGCCTGGGAGGCCCCCGGGGCCCTGCTGGCAACCGAAGCTCAGTGCCTTCTCTGCAGGAGGAGCTGAGTCTGGAGGGGTCTCCCACCCTGTACTGAGACACTCACTCTTTGTTTACCCCCAGCCTCCTCCCCTCCCTCTTAACAATCTCCTCCCTTTTAATGAACATTTCGCTCACCAGATGCAGGGAGGACTTGGTCACGCTCAACAAGCTCAGGAGTGTCACAGAGGCTATTAACCGTCACTGTCCGGGCAGCCCTCTCATGGGCTGACGTGGGGATCCATCACACTGGCAGAAGCACAGGAGTCCCCCCCACCTCTCCCCACCCTGCTCCTGCCCTCTCGGGTGAGAACCACTGAGGCAGCAGGTCAAGGACAGCCAGTCCTGAGTGGGGGAGGGGCAGGACTTTTGGGACTCTGGGACCTGCTGTCGGGAGCAGAGGTGGGCCAGGCGGACAAGAGGGGGCATACTTTTCTCTGAAGACTGCTTTACTGAGAAAACTTTTCCTTCTGAAGGTCACTAGGGCTTTCACGACTTCCTATGAGCAGACTCATAAGGAGAAGGGTGGACAGCAGGGATTGTGATCCTTGCTGATCCCAACTCTGGGAGGTAAGCCCTCCTGGGACCCACAGGGGCTCCATTCCAGCACCTTATCCTTGGAGCCAGTGTGAGCCTTGTGTTCTAAGTTCTCATTTTTCCCCAGGTGGTCATGTTACCTTAACCTGGGGCTTTGAAATGTGTGAATAAAATTTGCAAACCGCACCGTGTAGGTGAATATAGGATTGGACCAGCTGAGTGGGGAAGACCAGGAATCCCGCTCCACCCAGGTACTGGACAAGTGTCCTCCTACTCCTCGACTTGGCTGGGTGATGAAGGACAGGCGTATCACGTTCGAGGCCTCAAGGCTAACATAGCAGATGATGCAGTCCTGCTCTCAATTCTGTGTAAGGAAGGACCAAGGTAGAAAGAGGCTACAGGCTGCCGAGTCGGGCTCAAGACAAGGCAGGACTTCCCAGTGCTGATAACCATCCCTTCTGAGTGGGGCAGGGGCCTTCCCCGTTGTGAGCTCCCGGCCAAGAGGCCATCCCGTGTGCTTGCTCGCGGAGCCTGCCCTTGCGGGACACTGGATGACTGCCATGGTCCCTCCCGACTGAGATGCCAGGATCCCTGGCAGTGGCTCCTTGTACTGGGATTCTGTAATCCTGAGCAGGATGTGCGAGAACTGCCAGAAATCATTTTTATCAGAAGCTGTTCTGTGCTCATCAGGATCTAGTGCTGAGGGATGGCGTGGAGTGAGGAGCAAGGTGCGCCCTGAATCCTGAGGAGGGGTGCTGGGGCAGATGCAGTGGCAAAGGGAGCTAGAGAAGAGGGTCAGGAGGGAGAAGTCCCAACCTCGGCTTCCTCGAGAACCTCTGTGCTGGGGCAAGCGAGGTGCCAGAGTCTGGGCAGACACCCTCTGCCAGGCCTCTCAACCACAACAGCAATGGTATTCTTTGCTTTTAGACCAAAACAGGAATACAAATGATCCCAGAACATGTGCCGGACGATAGGGACCCCACACCCTCCTGTCTCCGGTCTAGGGGGCTCAGCAGCTGGGGCCTTCCGGGATGGTGCGGAGGAATGAATGAGCTCCCTACCACAAACCTGCTTTAGGGGGAGAGACCCCCCAAACCACCCCTGAGGACGATGGTGCTCTTGCTCAGGAGGGCATCAGTCAGAAGGCATCCTGGATGGGGTGTCTTTTCACGCCCCACTGCCGGCAATGCGGAGGCGGCTGCCACAGGCTGCTGGGGTTTATGGCTGTGCCACTCTCGTGCCCTGAGGGAGCAGAGCCTGACCCGGAGCCTTCAGGAGCCCTGGCCCAGCCTGGGGGTGCTGGGGGGACCCTGCATGGGCGTGTGAAAAAGGCTGGGCCTAGCGCGGGCTCCGTCCACACTATGTGATCTTTGTCGGGACTGTGTTTCCCCTGCCCCCCTCCTGGCTCTCGGGAATCCATGGAACCCCCGCCACCTTCCAGCTGTGCCGTGAGCACACACAGCCATCTTGGAAAGTGTAAGGAAGGGACGAGAGGAGAAAGGGCAGATGCGAGAGGTCTCTCACTCACCAACCCATCTCATCAGGGAGGTCAGGATCTGCAGGTACTTGGTCTTCTGGACGTCAAAGAAGGTGAAGGGTCCGAGGAGGAGAGTGAAGACAGCCTGGGTGACAGAAACAAGTGTGAGGGGGTGCAGGGGCCGGGTGCACGCGGCACACAGTGCGTGTGTGTCGGAGGACACGCTGGCCATGCGGCCTCTGTCCCGGCGGCCAGTCCTAACCGCGATGTGCACCTGGGCCAGCAGAGCCTCCCTGGGAGCCAACTGCATCGAGTGGGGAGTTCCCAGGGGTGCAAGAGAAACCCAGAGCTGTCCTTCTGGTCTGTTCCTCAGGCCTCCTGTCCTGAGACAACTTTCTGGGCAAGCCCCAGGCAACACCCCAGGGACATCGCCTGCTACTTCTCTTCAGCAAATGCTGAGGGTTCCCAGGCCCCGCACGGAGCCGGCCACGAGCCCCGATGAGGGGTGAGACAGCAGGAGGATGAGGATCTGAGAGGAATCCAGGCACACCGTGGGCCCCCGGGTTTATGGGGCAGACAGCAAACAGGGAGGAGCGGACACAGGGGCCCCGACAGCGCAGTGGAGAGAACGCTGTGCTGAAGGTTCAGAGGAAAGGATTGAGCAGGATGTCGTTAACCAGCAAAGTTTATGACTTGAAAGAAGGGAAAGCCTTGCGAGCCAGAGCCAGTGGCTTCCGGGGCAAATCTCTCGGAGGACCGTCCTGGACCAAGAAGGGACGGGATCACAGCCAGGAAAAGTGGGAATTGAATTTGGGGCTCAGTGCTCTTCCCCTGTGGGGAATAAGGAAAACCAAGCGGTTACTTAGAAAAAAAAAATTCAAACCCTATCTCAGAAAACCAGTCTGTGGGAAATCTGAACCCTCTCTGCAAAGGAAAATGAGGGTAAGCCTGGCACAGCAGAGCCAGGCTGGGGGCTGAGGGAAGGTTAGGATTTCCAATGCCAAACTGGTTGCTGAGGGAGCAGAGGAATTAAAAGCTGCTGGTTGGAGTTATGATGATGGTACCATTTCCAATCTGCCACTCGGAAGCAGCGGAGGCAACAGACCTTATTAACATTTACACTGCGCCATTTTATCACGTTAATGTTAATGACACTCGCCAGAGGTGCAGCAGGCGGCGGAAGCCCGAATGTGGGGAGCAGGGCCCACTCTGGGGAGTCAGGCTCTGGCCCTGTGATCTGGGGGGAGACATCACAGCTGCTCAGCCTGGCGGGCGCTGTTGGAAGGGGGGCTGTGCCTGTCCCTCCCCCACCCCCATCTGCAAGGAGAGCGGGAAGTGGGAGAAGCTGTGACCTCTTATCCAAGTCCATTATCACTATGAGGATGACACCAAAGACTAAAGTACCCCTTAAGGAGAAGGCTCTAATTAGCTGGGGGACAAGGCCTCTAGGCAGGCTCCAGGGCTGGGAGACTTCTGGAAAGGGCTTTCTGCTGGGGGCCTGGAGCCAGCTCTGCTTCCTCCAGGAGGAGGGGAAGCGCCATTAGGCCAGAGGTGCCTGGGGGAGGGGGGGAAGCGGGGGAGGGGGCGTCCCCTGCAGGCCGGACTCAGTGAGGCAGAGTCAGCAGCTCCGCACAAGCCGGCATGCAGCAGCATCAGCCCGTCCTTTAGGAAAATTACCACTTTAGGGAGACTTCAACAGGATTTCTTTCTTGAAGGGAGGGAGAGGGAGAGGTCTTGAGGAAGAATATATACAAAGCCACTGGCCACAGATGTTTCCAAACACCGTGGGCTGCTCAAAACTGGACTCCTGGTGTGTCCTCGGCAGGTGTGGGGGCCTCCCCTCCGACCCGAGGTGCCCACTGCACACACACTGGACATTATCTTAGGGGCAGCTTATGTGGGAGGTCGGAGCTCATCTCTGAAGCCTAAAGACTGGTTTTCAGAAGGTTCTACTATGTAACACCGAGGTGGGGAGGCGGGGGGGGGGGGAGGCGGGGGGCAGCGCACTGTGCAGCAGGACCAGCCCCAAAGGCAGGCAGGGAATCCTGCTACTGCAGCCTGCCAGGTCCTCTTCCAGATGCTAGATCTGTCTTCATCCTCCTCCCTGGCAGCTGTTCACCAAGATCCTTTGACCCACAAGAGGATGTATTTTATAAAACCCTGTAGGGTGAGATCCCAGTCCCCCAAGAGCTTCCCTCCTTTTAAAAACACTAAGCATACAGGCCCATCTGAAAAAGGCCGAGCAGGAAGTGCACGTGTGATGCCATCCGAGCAGTGGGGAGCAGGAGCGCAGAGGGGCTCAGAATGAGGGTCCGCACCTGCCCGGCCCTCCCACCTCGGGCTCTAGGGACAGCAGTGGGGCCTGGCGGTGGAGGGTTCTTTCGGCAGATTCAGTCAACAGCTATGACACCCACGGCGGGCTGGTGGCCGGGATGTGGTTTTGGGAGCACAGAATGACCGCACCACTCCGCAGTGGGAAGCGCAGGGCCCGCGTGGTCGGCGCAAACGTGCACAGACCGCCAACGGCAGCCCTTGCCTGGCCGCTAGCTCACACATCGGAGGGACCCAGACCAAGACACACGGCACAGGCTGGGGCTAATTAAGGAACAGGTGTCCTCTGCAAATTAGTTAGAGTCAGACTCGGCGCCTGCAGGGGCCGGCGTCCAAAGCCGGAAAGGACGCCTTGGTGCGGCTGCCAGGTCTCTGGGAGGCAAGGGGGCGTGGGCAGAGAAACGGCCCCCATGTTCCCAGGGTCTAGCGGGGACGGAGTTCATCTCTGAATGCCGAACAGCCAAGCGTGGCACCTTCTGCTTCCCCTTTCCTTTTTCAAAAAGAAGAGATAAAAAGCCAAGAGACAGCCTATCCTCTTGAGTCTTCTCGTCTAGCCCATATGACATTATAAATTAGCTGGCTCCTGAGCAATGGTCCAACTCCCAAATGCCACTGATCAGTTCAAACTCAGCCTCTGTCAAGGACTCTCTGAGCCCAACTCATTCCAGGAGGCAGGACAGCAACTGCTGCAGCCAAACGCATTCCGGAAAAAGAAAAAGAAAAAGAAAAAGAAATACAGAACAATTCTTTGGTTTCTAATGAAATCTTCAAATTGGTCACAGGGAACAAAGTCTGAGACAGACCTGGGAGGGTGCAAATGGGGCAGCTCGGGTCTCTTCTTTGGGTCGCTGAGTTTAAATGTGCACCAAACGTCCCACGGCAACCTTGCCGGTCTTGATGGACACAAGGCAGCTCGCGTTGCTAAGGCCCCGCCAGCCATGCTTGGGCATGGCTTTTACAGTGTCCTGGTGGCCCTCCGAACTTAACTCGGCGTCTACAGTTCCATCCAGCTGCCTCTCTCCTGCACCCCCGTGTAGGTGAAGCACATCCCCACTCACCTCCAGCCGCTCCGGCTCTGAACTCCAGACAACCTCTGACTCCTTCACTCTCTGTACTAGTGTGTGACTTAAAACCACAGAAATGCATTTCTCACGGCCCTGGGGCGGGGGGGGGGGGGGGGGGGGAGGGAGATGGAGCACAGAGCATGGGCCCCTGACCTCACCTGGCTGGGGCTGTGGTGGGCATACCCAGGGAAACTTCACAGAGAAAGTGATACCTCAGGTAAGAGGAACCAGGTAGGCAGAGTGTTAGCGAGAGTTCAGGACTGTCCCCTGGGGAATCTGTCCTGCTCCCCTCGTCCCTGTCCTCTCCTTCCTGGGCCCAGAGCCAGCTGGTGCCAGTGTCGTTCCCCACGCTCAGCCCCAGCCACACCTGTGTCTTTCTTGTTCACTTCAGAAACGACAAAGTCCAGGGACCCACGATCTGGTTCCAGCCACCTTTTTCAACCTTGTCTCTGAAGACACGACCCCAGAACCTACTCTCCAGCAGCCCTGGGCTGCGAGTCCCTGATGTGCCCAGAGCCTTCCTGCCACTGGGCCTTTGCTTGGCAAGCTCCATTTCTGTCGGCCCAAATTCCAACACCAATCCCACTCCAAAAGCCGCTCCTGCACCCCGTTGTTGTCTTCCACTTCCCCTCCCTGGAACCAATCATGCTTCCCCCAGGAGCCCTTGCCGGCTCCGCCAGGGCAGCAGCTGCAGCTCCCGCACATCATGTTCCCACAGTGCTGGGCACAGTGCCCCCCACGGGAGGGCTGACCCAACTGTGCGTGGCCCATAGGACAGGGCTGGCAGGAGGAGGCACATCTCTGCCAGAAATGAGACCCAATGGCAAGGGAATAGATCCCAGCCCTCTGCCTGCCTGAGGCGGGAAGGGAATCCCCTCCTCAGAATCAGTCTGAGATTCGGGAAAGGCCGGTGTGGGTTGCACTTGGTGATTCCCAGGACAGGATGGTGGCTTTGCTGAGACCCCGAAGGGCAGATGCTCACGCCCACACGTGCCAGCTGGCGTCTGGGAGCCGAAGGCTAGCCGCTCACTCAAGCCGCCACTTTCCTCTTGGGAGTGGTTCGGAGCCGTGTGAGCAGCCAGCCCTCAGCTATGGGAGAAGCACATGCTACGTAAGAGAATGGATCTTTCCACCTCTCAAGTCAGAGCTGCTGAGGGTGAGCCATGCTCCGCACCTGCCTCCCTCTTCAACTCCACCTCGTTTCATCCACAAAACCAGCCGAGGCCTGGCTGTGGGCTACACATCCACCTCGACCCTGTCTCCCTGCTGCTGGTCCTGCCGACCATAGCCTCACGACAACGCTGTGCTGGGGGAACCTCACCGCCTGATGCTGTGGGTCCCCCGTGCTTTACACAGTGCTCATGCATGCGGTTTCGTGTCAAGCTCCTGGCCATCTGTGAGGTTGCCAGGCAGCTGATGATGCCTCATTTTAGTGATGAGGGGGCCGAGGGACCAGGGAGGTGTGCTGACGGTTAAGAAGGCGGCTGAGGGGAGTGAGTGGGAGTCTCTTGACCCCATCCCTCTGACTGATACGATCCACGGCGCATCCCATTAGAGGCTGTTTTCCCGACACCTCCTGTCCCCACATTGCACCACTTCTCAGTCTCATGCCTTTACCCTCGTGATCCCACCCGCCTGGCACGGAGTTTCACTCTCCACCTCCCTTACTCCCATTGTCTTCGAAGCTCTACTCAGGGACCAGTCTCCTCCGCACGGAGCTCCTCCCTAGGGCTCTTGACTGGATTACCAA